CGCCCCCCTGCCCCACCGTGCCCCCCAGCCCTGCCCCTCCGGCTCACCCTGTGCTTGAATTTGTTGGAGTTCTTGTTCTCCTTCTTGTTGAGGTCAATGAAGTAGTGGGTGACTCTCTCCAGGTCGCCCCCGTCCATGGCCCAGGAGATCCGGAACGAGTCGCAGGTGATGTTGTTGATCTCGATGCTGCGGGGAGTGGAGAGCAGCTCCATGGTCCAACCCGCCTGGCTCCTAGGCACAGGGAGGGGATGAGAAGGGGGGGGAGGAACCACGAGGTGTAAAACCAAGTGGCTTCAACACCAAACCACAGAAAGACGTTCCCTTGGCCAGAGTGGGGTTAGCTCCCCGCCCTCTGCGTGGCCCCCACGGCAGAGCCCCGCCCTCCTCCCCCAGCCCTGGACTCCGTTGCAGCTCCCCATTCTTGGTGGGAGAATTTGGGGGTGCTCTGTGGCAGCCCCTCTCCCAGCACTGCATGGAGTTTTTTGCTTATAGCAGGATGCGCCCGTGGCTGCTGTGAGCAGAGCCCGGCCACCACGGCGTGGAAAACACCCGTCCCTAAAAGCAGGGATGCGGGGAATTGGTGCCGTCAGGGGAACGCAAGGGCAGGCTGATCTGGTTAAGGCTAGCTCAGAACTTAGGGTGTGGGGGGCTGGATTCCATCCTAGCCTCCCTGCGTGGTGCAGGTAGGTCACTTCCAGCCAGATTTCCGAAAGGGCTGAGCTGTGCATGCCTCCCGGATGGGTGCCAGGCTGCCAGCGTGTGCCCGGCTGAGCGCTTTGGAGAATGGCCCCGGCCGTGAGCCCTTGGAAACCTGACCCCTCGCTGCTCTGCGCTTCGGTTCTTCGCTGTCAAAGGAGGGGCACTGGTGAGCTGTGTGGGGCAGGGATTGTCTCTGCTTCTGTGCCTGTGCGGGGCCCAGCCCAACGGGCACCGATCTGGACTGGAGAGCCTGGGACAGAATATCGCCCTCCCCAGCGAGCTGTAACTTAGGCAGCGATGCCTCCGCTTCGGTCGCGCTCGCTCGCTGTGTCCCTCTCCTCCGAGCCCTAATTAATTCCATCTGCATCCACGGTACCAGCTGAAGAGCGGGTGTCAGCCCACTCGGAGGTTTGACAGCGCAGCCGGCACCTTGCAGGTGTCGGTGCCAGCGCGTCTACTGCCAGCCTTGAATGGGACAGATTCGGAGCAGATGGTGCTGGGGAGGGAAGGGGCTCCGGGCCAAAGGCAGGAAAGGAGGAAGGATTTGAGGATTTTTTTGTTGTTGTTGGTTTGAAAGGCAGGGAGAGCTCTGGGGGAAGGGCCCAGGTCCATGTTCCCTCTAAGCTTTTCTATGTGTGGATTTTTCCATCCATGTGCAGAATAAATTTTGTTATGTGCTCCCAAGAGTGTGTGGATGTGCACCACCACAATAAATACAAACCCAGCTGTGGGCATTTGTCTAATCAGCTGGGAGGCACTGGAATCTCTCCTGAGCATCTGCGCAAGCACCCAGCTTACAGGAACACTTGCCTGGCTATGCCAGGATATGAGAATGCCAAGAGGGTGTTTTCAAGGTGCATGTATGTGCAAAGAATGGGGGTGAATGGGTGCAGGTAGCGCACAGAAGGATGTGTAGGGGACGTGATTGTGTGTTTGTAATATGCACGTGCCACATATGTGCAGTGTCATGCGTGAGCAGAGGTCGGGGTTCATGTGACATCAGTATGTGTTGACTGTGTGCAGCGGGCAGAACCCATGGGTACAGATGGCATGGATGGAACATGGGGATGTTCATACAACACGTGTGTTTGTGCAAAAGGGCGCCGGGTGACTTGGTAAAACAGGGAGATTTACGGTGGGTCTGAGCCCTGCTAACAGAGTGAGCTCTGCCGTGTCCTGCCAGCTTGGGGGCTTGCAGGAAGCTGAGCGGCACATGGGCAGAATTTCACCCAGCGTTGCAGGTTTGCAAATGCACTCGGCACCCAGCCGCTCCCCCGGGGATCCTGGGAGCTGCAGCGCTCAGAAAAACCTGACATCTGCCCCGCACTTGGAGCCTGGGGCCGAGGCCTGGCAGGGCTGCATGACGTTACCCACGTCTTCGACCTTCCCAGACGCCGGCAGTGCTGGGGTGAGGACTGCTTAAGATGCAAACGGCAGGAGAGCCGAGGGCTGAGTGCAGCGGCAGCTCCTTGGAGCATTATGAGGCCGGCTGGGGTATTTTCCATGAGGGGGAGCGAGGCATGAGGCTCTAAAACTCCCAGGCAGAGGGATTTCACTTCCACCCGCCCGGCACAGGCTGGGAGGGAGAGATCAGATGTGACTTGGGGAGGCTTTTCCCCCTGCAGTGGGCCCTGGGAGGAGGGGAAGGAGTCCTGCCAGGAAGGGACCCGTCTCAGCTGGGTGTTTCTCTTTAAAGGGACGGCGCTGTCTTTGCTCAAGGCTTTGCGGGAGGGGGGCAGGCTGGAAAACAGCAACAGCAAGGACTTCGAGTTGGGGCAGTGTTGTCCGGCACCAGCTCTTGGTGCTCCGAGGAACGCCTGCTTTATACCTACGGCCCAGCCGGCCTCTGGGGTTGAGTCTGCAGTCTGTCCCTGCCACCGATTTGCTCTTTGACCTTAGGCAAGTCAATTCTCCCAGCCTGTGCCTCAGTTTCCCACTCCGTACAATAGGGATAGCGGCGACAGCTCTGTTTCATGGGCGCAGGATGAAAGGGAAGGGAGGGAGGTCAGGCACCCCTGGGGGCCAACTGAGTTGGCTCTGGTGAGTTTTCCATTCATGCTTTTCTCTGGCTTCTTTATAAACAAGTGAGCAATCGGTTTCAACGGGGTGAGGCTCTGCCTGGAGAGAACAGGTCTGAGCACCTGTGCTCACCTAGGGAGGGGCACTGGGTAATCAGTAGTTGCTAATTTACCTTCCCTTTGCTCTGAGAGCTTGGGCCGAGCCACTGGTAAGTCAGCCTAGGCTGCTTGGAGTCTGTTTTGAAAAGCTGCTCTCAGGCGAGTTGTAAAATCTACGCTGCTGTGGTCATCCCAAATCCCTGGGTGGTTCTTCCATCCGCAAGATCAGACTCTGGGAGGGATCTGGCAGGGCCTTTAGAAAGACAGATCTGCAAATGGGTCTTTTCTCTCCCCCTCCTCCTCCTCTCCGGCTCTCTCTCATGGGCCCCGGCCCCTGCAGCAGGATCGCAGTTGGTTTCATGTCAAATTTTCCTAATTGTCTTTCTTCTCTTCCCCCCCTGCCGTGATGGCTCCTTTGTGTTGGGGAAGCAGGTGCTTTTATTTATAGCTGCTGCCACACGAACAGCCCACAGCTTTGGGGTTTGTTGCGAGCGCTCAGAATTCAGCAGCTCAGAACTTAACCCTGCGAGGACTCGAGCTCTCCCACCATAGGGAGGGGAATTGCAACAGGCCTGAGCGGAGGGGGAAGGCTGTCTTCGGAAATCGAGTCCCCGCGGTTACCAGGGTGACAGGCTTGTTAAAGGATCAGGGCCACAGCTCACTAGGACCTGCGTGGGGTCTCCTTTGTTTGCCTATATCTGCATGTGGCAAAACCAAACGGCCCCCCGCTTGGATCCTATGAGCAACCCTATAATAATAACCAGCTGGTGAGCAAGGCAATTCGAGAACAACAACCAACCAGAACGCACAGCCCGGCGATACTAACCAACCGGTGTGCAAAGCAACTCGAGAACAACCACCAATCAGTGTGCCGAGCCCTTGCGAAGAACCCTACGGCAACCACCAACCAGAGTGCACAACCCAAGAGGAAATCCACAACCACCACCAGCCAACACACCCTGCACCTGTGAGCCACCCTACAGTAGTAACCTGCTGGTATGCACAGGCCGGCGTGTGCCTAGATAACCCACACACCTGCTGGGTGGTGTTCACTGGCCCATGGAGTGGCACTGAGACCACTTGCAGAGAGAATAATGAGTTTGCTCGACTGCAGAGTTTCTTAAACTTTTTAAGACCGAAGAACACCAAAGAAGAATTTTTTTTATGAAGAACATCAAGGATTTTTTGTTGAGGGGAAAAAAAAAAGGTCGGTGGGAAAAGGAATCGGGGGAAAGTTATTGAGCAAAAAAAAAAAAAGTAGTCTGCCCCTTTAAGGGTGGCCATTTTGAATTCTGTTGTTCTCCGCGGAACACCTCTGACTGCTTCGCGGCACACTGGTGTGCCTTGGAACGCAGTTAAAGAATCACTGCTCTACAGTCTGAGCACTGAGCGGGCTGGCTGTTAGCTCGAGCCGTGGATGCACTAGGCTCCAGAGGTCCCAGGTTCAGTTTCCCCTGTCGGCATTAGACCAACACTCGTACCAAACCATTGTGCACAAGGGTGGGCGTCAGGAGAGGCAGGCTGAGCCTGCTGTGGCTATGGTGCTGTTAGCAACTGAGTGGGAGATAATCGCCAACTCTCTGCTGGCTGCATTCTCCTGCCAACCACCCTGGTAGGGGCAGAAAGCTCTGCAAGCCACAGCTTCAAGCCCAATCCGTGGGAAGCAGCTGCTGATAAAAAGCCAGTGGTTGCTGCTGGTCTGCTCCGAGACCGATCCTCTGGTTTGCTTAGAGACCATTCCTTGGGGATCCAGTGGGACTAGTAACACTGTCCTTTGGATCAGCTGCAGTCAACCCAACAGAGAGCTGTTTGGTTTCATGAACAGAGCTGTGCCTTTTGACCAGCGTTCACTCTAAGCTTTTCCATCCACGTGCGGAATTTTTTCATCCATGTGAGGAATGAATTTTGTTACATGCACCAAGGCACATGTGAATGTGCACCACCCGGAGAAACAAAACCGAGTGGCGAGCATTCTGCTAATCAGCTGGGAAGCATTGGAATCTCTCCTAAGCGGCCGCACACGCACCTGGCTTTCAGAGAACCCTGCTTGTGACCGTGGCTAAGGGGCCGATGCGAGTTCCAAGAAGCAATTCACGGGCACCTTTCCAGCCCGGCTCGGCTCCGGCATGGGGACCACTCCCTCAGCACCCCCAGACGATCCCGGTATTTCTCTCTTCTCCTTGACACTTTTCTCAGGTGGATGCAACTGTGACGATACTCGTCCGGCGGGCCAATGGGGGAAGACCAAGGGCCCGACGTCCGATGGCCGACCCTCTCTAGGGCCACGGGAGCCCAGCTTCCATGCTGCAGTCTGTCTTCGGCCTCCCTGCGGAGGCTGCTGGCAAAGGAAGAGGAGGGAGCTGTCGTGGCCAGTGGGTTTGCAGTGGCCGCCGTGGCTCGTTGAGAAACTCTGTATGATTCACCCATCCAGTGCACAACGGCCGTTTTCCTCCAGTGCCTTGGGGAGAGAGGCAGCTCTCTCTGCAGCAGAATCCAGTTCCAGGATGGGTGCTTCGTGTGGCTTCGAAGCAGCGGCAGCAGGTAGGCTGACAGCTCAGCCCGTCAGCCCGGCTCTGCTCAGGGGAGCAGAGAGTGCAAGAGGAAGAACTTGGGGAGAAAAGAGCCCCGGTGGATAATTCTCAGCCTTTCCTCGGGCGTAGCGGGGATGGAGGGCAATGGCAGCCATACGCAAGGCGAAAACTCTGTGGCTCTGTGGCGTGGCTGTGTGGCCTTCTTGGTGTCAGGGGGGAGCCCTGCCAGGAATCCAGCCGGAGAGGCGGAGCGGGAGGGAAGCTGGGTTAGGCGTGGAGCCTGGAGCTCAGGAGCAGATGGAGAGAGAGGAGGAGGCGGTGAATGAGGCCGAGGAGGGAGGGCAGATGGGGAACAGACACTGGGCTTCCCATGTGCCCTGATGAGGTATGTGAGCGGTGCGTGGCCGACGCGCCGTCCAGAACTCCGAGGGCTGACAGCCCAGTAACGCCGGGCCAGGAGCTGGAGGCATGAGCAGAAGTGAAATGTGCCACGGCCACTGCCACACAGGGAGGAGGCGGCACCCGGCTGGCCCGGTGACCCACCTCCCCTCGGCAAAGCCCAAAATGCCCAAAGGAGCAAGTGCCTGCTGCTCTCCGCCCCCGGGGATCCGGCTGCCCCCAGGCGCCTTTGGAAGTCACTCAGCTGCCATTCCCAGGACGGGCCTTGGCCTGCACTGGACGTCCAAGTGGCAGTTGCTGTGGAGGGTGGTGTGCGTGCGCAGCCGGGGACACGGGCTGTCAGCCGTGCGCTTGGGACGAGGGTGTTTCTGATGTACCCTCTAGCGGGGCGAGCCCTGGAGTCCCCAGCGGTAGCACAGCACAATCCAGAGGTCGGGGGAACCCTGACACGGTGCATATGATCTGAGGAAGTGGGTCTGGCCCACGAAAGCTCATCACCTATGAAACCATCTTGTTAGTCTTTAAAGAGCTACATAGTGTTTCCTTTTGTTTTCGCAAGATCAGACTAACACGGCTCTCTCTCTATTACTATGGTATATATGGAAAAGCTGTGTTTTTGGAAGGGAGAACACACACCCTACACACAGACACACACACCCCCACATACCCTCCCCCCCACACACACACCCCATCTCATCATGCTTGGGTACCACCACACAAAGTCTAATCTGCAGCCCTGTGGTCTAATCCGGTGCAATGTGTCCATGTGTTTTTATTACCCAGACTTGGCAACAGGTCACAGGGAGGAGATCCGGATGGCCAGCGCAAATCATTCCCTGCCAGTAATTGGCATAATGTTCCAATCCATTTTTAGGTCCAATTAATACCCGGTGTTGGAAGAATACATAGCAGGCTGCGTGGCTTCTCTGATGCACACAGGCTCTTGCGAATTTAGTCATGAGTGCATGCAGATCTCCTACGCACGCAGAGGCGTGAAGGCATGTGTGGCGATCCACAAAGGGAGGGAGAGAGGGAAAGATGTATGTGCAGATGGCGTGATTCCTACAGGGACCACAAGCTGCCTGCTCAGACACAGAGAAGTGAGCAAAAAGCGAGAACATGCATGTAGCGCCCAGACATGAAGACATGCGGAGAAACAGCACACCATGACACACTATTATGCACCAGTATACTGAGGCCCGTACATGAATGGTGAAGCACATGTATGAACAGACACAAGTGTGTGCAGATACACACGTGTGTCAGCAATTGGTTTGTCTCTGTTACAGGAAATGATAAGCTGGAGACACATATGCAATTGTGATTGCACATGCATGAATAGTGACAGCAACCCCTGCCCAGAGAGATACACACAACTCTGTGTGTGTGACTGTCACTGAAAAAAACATGCACATGTGCATGGTAAAGCAAGGAACAAGTGACTAGCCTGCCACAGGTATGTCCAGGGCCGGGGAAGAAAACATGCATACGCAGGGAGCTGCTGCTGTGTGAAGCTATTGCTTTGCTGCTGCACGTGCACGCACAAAGAAAGGGTGATGACATGCAAGCATGTGGCAGATGGAAGCACACACATGTTGCGTTATCATCTGATTTGTGTATGTGGCCGAAGAGTGGTGCCACGGTGCATGTGCAAAAAAGACATCCAGGCACATCCAGAAATGGGAAGACGTATGGATGCACCCAGGTGGAGCTTTAAATGCATGGCCGGGGAATAACACACAATGACATGTATGACGAGGCAGGCGCATGTGTGAGGTGCACACGGAGGCCCAGAGAGCTAGAGGAAGGCAGCTGTCATGCTTTCTGCGTACGTTCAGAGAAAGAAACATCCAGCGACAAAGACACTGTCGTGAAGAGACGCTCAAAGGAACACGTCACCCACGCTCTGCATGGGCAGAGGAAGACCTGGAGTGGGGTGTGCCCACGGATGCACACGAGCATCCGCACGCTCGTGTAAAATTGTGCACGTCCTTTTCACGCGCACACATCCCACAAGCAAAGAGCGCTCCATTTCCAACCTTCGATTTGCAAATGAAAAGCCACTTGACTACAGGGGAACGCAGCGCCTGGGCCAGCGCTCGAGAGAAGCAGCTCCCACGCGGACAGCCCGGATCCAAGGCAGGGCCTGGAGAGAGCCAGGGGAAAGCAGAATGTGTGTGGGAGGAGTGGGGAGGGCGCTGGGCTCCGCAGGGACTGATGCAGAACAAGCCTAGCAGCCTAGCTCTGATGTGAATGCCGCTCCAAAGGAAGGGCCAGGGACGTGGGCAGCAAACCTCGCCTGTCCCAAATCCCCTGTCTCCGGCTAGGAGACAATCCCGAGCTCCTGCATTTCGGTCCCTTTAAACTACGGGTCCTTTCCTCGGATCTCACCCACGTCATCTCCTTCCAGCCCCTCTCCCCCACCCTCGGAACAGCAAGCTCCGTTTTCACCTGTCTGAGCCAAGCCAGGGGGATGGAGCCAGAGCGGGGTTGGAAGAGATGGGCTCCCTGCTGTTCAAGGTGGCTGAAAGCAATGCCCCCTCCCCACATCCCCTAGGCTAGTGCAGGCAGAGAAATTCCCCCAGCACAGCCTGCCAAGGGTTAAGAAACTGAGCTGTAGAGAGCCAAGGTCACAAAGGCAGCACGGTCGGGTGCAACTTGCAATCTCGCCCCCCCCACCCCTGCTCACATGCAGCCCCTCCGCGCACACAGCCCTTACACCCCCACGCAGACCTCCTCACACGCTTGTGACACGTGCATGCACACCCCACTGCCCATGCACAAGCACATGCTTACAAACCCTCACACAAACAGGCACCCCCAGCCATTCAGACATCAGAGTACATACACACACACACACACACACACACACACACACGCCTAAAGACACATACATAACTACGGGCCTACTAATACAAACACACCAATTCACATTAGGTTACACAACCACACCCGGCCATTTCTAAGTGCATACGCACAAGTTCAGGCACACAAACACATATGCCTGCATACACACCCACCAGCTCAGCCACATATAGTCACAATCATCCAGCCACAAGCACATGCGTATTATGCATCTCCACACACATATACCCACAAACATTAGGGCATCCGCTCGCAGCCGTGTACACACAGTACATACACACCCCTATCGATACGTACATACAACACATCCCCGTTCATGTACAAATACATACCGCCACAGGCATGTGCATTCATGCAAACAGAGAGACAATCATCCATGTGCATGCATCATCCCGTACATGAACCTCCGTCCATCCCACTCCTGTAGACTTGCATACAGACCATATAAGCCATGCACATGCGGCGCATGCACAGCCATTCACAGATTCCCTGTGCACTTCATACTCACATACATCATGCAAGCCGACCCAGCCTCTCAGACACCCACTAACTCACACACGTATGTACACCTCCTTCCTACATCTGTGGACGTCCTACACATGCACAAGACACCCCAATCTGGCCACCAGTGTAAGCCTTTTAACAGCATGGGACTTCAGGCTGTCAGAGGTGTGTGGCCCATTATCCCCCGTTCACAGAAACCCACTTAAAGTTCTCCAATCTTCCCCGTTCCGATCGGCAGTGTCGTGAAGAAAGAAGAAGGTCGTTTCCTTGGGGACGGTGAAAAGCAACGTGGCAGGTACAGCTGTCTCCTCAAGCCCTTGAAACCGATGCCAGGGCTTGGAGAGATTTGCAGATGGGGCCCGTGCCTGGGCTATTTAACCTCCCTTCTCGGCTTATATATAAGGGGCTTTTCCTGCCTAAGGGCTTCTAAAGCTCCATCCTCAATAGTAACTCATACCTAGCACTATCTGCCCTTCATGCACTTCACCAGACTTAATCCCTGGAAGGGAGGGGTTTTTTTGCTCCCATTTTACAGATGAGGAAACAAAGGCATAAGTGACTTGCCCAAGGCCACGCAGTGAGTCAGTGTCAGAGCAGGGCTCGGAACTCAAGTGTTCCTGGCACCTGGTTGGGCACTCAGAACCACACACTCACCATCCCCGAGTACAAGGTTAAAAAGCACCTTACCTGTCTCCACAGGGAACCTCTGAGGGCGGCTGAGAAGTTAGTGTGGCTGCCTTTGTGTATTAAATGTGTGTCAGGCACGCGGGGGGGAGGTTTCTGATTTGCAGAAACTTGGCTGCAAAAGCAGTCGCTCCAGCTAGGTGCTGCTGCCTCCCATGCAGTCCCTTGCCTCCTTCTGGGCTGACGCTGCTCCTCAGCCTCCGGCTGCTGCTGCTGCCCAGACTCTTGCAAACGCTAGGAAACAGCAGACACCCTACCGAAGAGGAGAGAAAAAAATCACAGCAGCATGCAGGAGAAAAAAAAAAATATACAGCTCTTCTCCGCCAATCGGGTCTCAGGCTGCAAAGCATCAGGTGATGAGCAGCCCCGTTCCCTGCCTAGCTTCCTCAAGCTGCATCCTCAGCTGTGCAGGGACAGCACTGTGAAACTACAGAGACTTCGGCCGGGTGGAGGGTGGGGAGTCACAGCACGCACGGGCGTGGGGGAGGGAGGGGACTGCGGCCTCGGGATGGGTGCAGAAGCGGGCCGTGCATTACCGCCTGGTGCCAAAACATGGGGAGAGTCGGGCGGTCACCAAGCAACGTTGACTCATCAGAAACTTTTGGAAGAATGGGCCGGACTCAGACACTGGTTTGGCAAGGTTGGCAGCAGCCATGTATTTGAGCAGCGTTAGGCGCCCGTGCTTGCATGGCTACAGCCTGCTGACATCCTATTCCTTCCTGGATGCTTACTGATTACCTGGGAGGGGGCTGCGTTTGTTGGACTCTCAGCCTTTTCCAGCTGGTGACCAAGTCAAAAATTGTTCATAGTCCCCTGATATATACTATAAGAATAAGAGATGTATTGATAGTGTGTGTGTGTGTGTGTGTGTGTGTGTGTGTTTGTGTGTGTGTGTGTGTGTGTGTGTGTTTCTCTCCCCTGATATATACTATAAGAATAAGAGATGTATTGAGTGTGTGTGTGTGTGTGTGTGTGTGTGTTTCTCTCCCTGTTCGGGTTGCAACCCCTGGTGTGGAGTAATTGTCAGGATTCCTGGATCCCACTCCCAGTTCTGATGCACAGAGTGCAAGGCCAGAAGGGAGCATGAGATTAGCTGGGCTGCCGGTACACGAGGCAGGAGGAGGCGTTGCCTTCCCAAACCACCAGCCTGACCCCGCCCACTCTCCACCCCCAGAACGCCTACTCTAGGCAGACTGGGGGTGGAGTGTTGTTGCCCCTGGGTGCCCGCCCTCTTTGTGCATTGAGGCCTCAGAGGCTGGGACCACGTGCCGCCCCACCTGTCCATGGTGCTGGGGGGTGCGGCTTGGCTCCTGTGGGGGCGGGGCCTGGGCAGAAGAGGCGGGGCTGGGGGCTTGCGT